CGGGATATCCTCGAAGGAAAGTGGATCCGCAGAGTTGATTAAGAGCGCCTTCGCCTCGTGCCTCGTCTCGGCCGTCTTTCGTTTGTCCTTTGATTCGATCGCGTGCTGCTCCAACGAAAACGAACGCGCTTTGAAGTCGTTGATTAAAAAAGACGTCGTCGGTCCCCCTTCCCCCTCCCCAGAGTCCCGTCCAGAGTCTCGTCGCTAATTTTCCACCCGGAGTCGGTGGAAGGAGCGTATCGGCCGATTTCCTTTCTTTTTTTCTTTTTTCCAGAACGATTGCCGACGATAGGAGAGAGGGGAGGGAACGCTACGCTTGGCCGCGGCGAGAGAGCGAAACGGAGAAACGGGTAGGTTAGGTAGGTGGTCGCGGCAAGGGTTGAATCGGAGGGTGGAGGCGATGGAGGGTAAACGGTGCGCTGACGGCTCGGGATGGGGTTGCGTTGAATTAATCATATTCCGGTGTTTGTCGTGCCGCCCCCAGACGTAATCCGTCTTACCTCCCGATCTCTCTCGCTCCTCTGCCACGATAGATTTGCATTTTAATTAAAAGCAAAGCGCTGAAATCATAATGCGAAACGTGCGGCGCCGCCACCGCCTTCGTCGCGTCGTTATACGTACGGACGCGTACAGCCTCGGAAGGACGCCGAACCGATTCCTTCTTCGACTCGGATCGAACGAATCGAATTGATGGAGTAATGAGACGGATCGCGGAATCCCCCTCGAAAAGCCCCGTAGTTGGAAAACGGAGATCCACGAAGGAGTACTAGTGCTGGCAACGGCATCTATTAGAAACGCGTTAACAAATGCTTGGATTAAGCGAAGGCAGTTACTAGATCCCTTTTGCTGCGGAGCAGGATCGTCGACTCCTTCGACGGACTACTGGGCGCGTCTTCGTTTCTCCTCTGCACAAGGGCTCGCGTTAAATCCGCGATATATGTCTCGAGACCGCAACGCCTCCAGGATTATTTATCCTCCCCCTTCCCGAGGTGGATCTCGTCGTTCCTCCCAAAGGGAACGACGAGCGAGTGTAACATTAGTTCGGAAAAAGGAAGGGGAAATTTCGGGTCGAAACTCTCCGCGATGAGATCGACGGAGTCGATTCGCAGCGAAGCGAAGGCGAAAGGGCGAAGGGAGAGAGAGAGAGAGAGAGAGAGAGATTGTAACGCGAGCCGAGTAAACGACCTAGAAGGAACGCGAGTCAGCCAAGGAAACGGACTTGGATTCCGCCATCGAGAACGCGAGTGGAAGGCGAGAGAGGGAAGAAAAGATCAAGCGGTGTCGAGACCCCTCGGATTTCCACGGCTTCGCCGTCTCTTCAAATCCTCTTAAAGTTGTATTCTTTTGGCCTCGCCGCCCCTTTCCTCGCGACTGTACGCAACAACACGGAACAAACGCGAGCTCTATCGTCCCGAGCGGATCCCGCGCTTCTCCCGCCAAGAATCTCGGCGCGGATCCTCCATCTTACCTCGCCAGCGCCTCCATGTTGGACATGTTCGGGTTCACCTTGAGCCCCTGCTCGGCCCGCGCCTGTGCCTGCGCCTGCAGATGATGCGGCAGACTGGCCGGCGACAGGATGGCCGTGTGCCCTGCGCCCGGATGTCCGCCCAGTTGCATGAATTGCATGTGACTGAGGTGCGTGGGCGGGTGGTTGTACCCGTTCGCGAGCAGCGGCGACTTCTCCATCCTCGGCACATCTGAAACCGGAAACCAGCCAAGTCTCGCGTTAGTCTCGGGGGGAAACGCACGCCAGGGGTCGATACATGCCGTCCTCCCCGCAAATACGCCGTATTTGCCGAGAGGATTTTCCGCGCTTCGAAACGTGGCCGTGTATCTTCGTCACGGGGTTCGACACGGTCGAACGGGGGCCGACCAGCGACGCAGATAACAGCTTCAACAGTTTGCGTCGTTGACAGCGGCGCGGCCGTCGGACCGACCGTCGTCGAACCAGGCCCCGATACCCTTTTCGGGATTCCACCCGTGCGAGTGGACCACGTCCAAGATGATGCGAGAGAGGTCGAAAGGAGGGCAATATATATATGTATACACGGTGCAACGAAAGGCGAGGGCGAGAGAAAGAGAGCGTTGGAAGGGGAGAAGGAGGAGGAGAAGAAGAGTGGGAAGGGGTAGAAAATGAGCGGTGCCTATTCATTACAAATTATCTAAATGGCAGTGATTTCGGCGGACCGGCTGGCCGTTTGACGAGTAAGTGGCGGTTTCGCTGGACAGTGACTGTCGATGCCGCGGATCCCGCCACGGTCCGCGACTCGGGACGGGGCGACGGCGTGGATCGTTTGACAACCACTGTGGGACCCCGGCCCATGACCGGCCCTAAAATTGGACTTATTACAACTTATAGAGCGCGATTTGAACGCTCCGCTCGATAACATACATTATCCCCAATCCATATGATTTAATGAAATCCCTCTAAACTCTCCACTTAGCCTCAGTACCTTCTCGCGCGGTACCCTTCTCTCCTTTTTCTCTTCCCCTCCCTCCCTCTTCTTTCGTAGATTGCTACGTGTGTGCACCGACGTGACCGAGAGAAAAAACCCCACGGAGGGGCAACTGAGACGGAGAGGAAGAGAGAGAGAGAGGAGAGCGCTAGCTGCGCGGATACGAGCGGGCGGGGAGCGAGAAAAAAAGGGTACGGGGGTGAAAAGGGTCGTGAAAAGAAGGGAGCGAGAAAGAGAGAGAGAGAGAACAGCTTGGCACGTTCCGATCACCGTTGGATCGCTTAAAACGCACGTTCCTCGATTTTATAACCCCGACAATGGCTATTTGCCGGTCGCGTATATATATACGTACCAACGTCGTAACGCTACGACCACGACCGATGAAGACGTTTCGACCGAAACCTGGAAACCCTGGAAACCTCTCGTCGAATTGACCTTTTTTCGAAAACTCGAAACCTCGTCGGTTTCGTTCGCAACATTCTTCTTCCATGTTCATCGCGTGGTGGATGGAACGGCTAACCGGAGAATTGGGGGAAAAAAAAGAAAGAAAGAAAGAAAGAAAGAAAGAAAGGAAGCAGGAGCCGAGGATCTTCTATCGGATCGCGGGCAGAGCGGAACGCGAGGGGGACGATAAAACACAATTTGAGCTAAAGACCGCGCTCCTATAACTTCCCACCCCATGAGCCCGCGCGCGGACGTATACCGCCACCTCTTTGCCCCTCTCGTGGCTGATGAGGTGACAACCCATAATTATACAGACCGCTTTNGGCTGACTGCAGTGGCATGCGGAGGAGAGGCCTCCATCATCCTCCTCCTCCTCCTCCTCGCCTCTCCCTTTCTTCGCCGTCCTCCCTTCTCCTACCCTTCGTCTTTCCTTCTTTCTCGTTCCTTCCTATCTTCGCTCTCTCCGCGCTCCTTCCATCTCGTATCATCTTCGGATCTCGCTTTTTCATCATCCCCCTTCGCTCCTTTCAACCGCACGGTGGTTTCTCATCCACCGTTTCCGATCCCTACTCTAGTGCGCGCCGCTCGCAATAACGATACAACGCGCCGCGTGTTCTCGTTCCGTGTGCGCTCACCGTGCGTATAACGTACGGTATATAAGGTGGTTCGTGGCGGAGGCGGAGAGAAGCGAAATCAGCAGTCGGACAGTCGGGAGAGCGTAGGAAGGCGGAGGGAGTCAGCGACTAAGCTACTTCTTTTCTGGTGTTAATTACAAAACGCGAGAATAAATTGGCGAGTCAAACGAGCGGCGGCCGGTATACCCTCTCTCGGCCGCGACCTCGTCACGTCTGTTCCTCGTTGGAGGAGCGGCGGCCCTCCGCGACGGACGGATGAATGGAAGGGCGAGCCGTCCGTCCCGCGCACAGGTGGAATTCGTTATGCGTCGCGATCACGGCCGTACGCTTCTCCCTCTCTCTCTCTCTCTCTCTTCCATCTTCCATCCATCCAACTCCTTCTTTTCACCGAGAACCGCTACGAGGGAGAGAGAATCCGACGTTCTCTTCCGTCCTTCTCTCGATGAAGATCCTTCGAATATTTCCAATTCGATATCCGCCTCTTCGGTACGTAAAAGCGTACAGCAGGGGAGAGGGAGAGGGAGTTTTCCTTCCTCCCTTTGTAGTCTTTTTCTCGGCGTGCACGCCGACGGGCCGCCAGTTTCTCCGCTCGAACGACCACCACCGGAGACCAAGGTATCGTGAAATTATTCGGAAAATTTGCCCTTTGTCCGCGGATCCTCGGCAACCCCCGCAGCTCCCGTCATTGTTCTTACCAAACGGCCAAGAAATCGACCGAATCTTCTCTTTCCGCTCTCGATGCTCGACCACGGTCTACTGTAACGCTTGTTATTTGCGCTTATAGATATGTGTATGTATATATATATATATATATGTTTACCCTCGACACCGACTCCCTCAAAACCTTCGGATTTAACCCTCGAACACCGACCCTCCGGCTACGGCCGATGACATCGTGGCCCTTTAAGTACCTTCCACGCCGCTCTTCTCCCCTTCTCCTCTTTCTTCTCCTCCCGTTCGTGTTTTCCTGCGCGATTCGCTCGGGATCGGGAGCCCCACGGAACTTCTCGGTGAACTACGCAGGGAGAAACGCGGGGCCCGTTAGCCGGGGCCCCGTCGTGCACGTGCATCGCATCCAACATTGTTCCCCGGCTCGTGTATTGGTATATAAACACGGGAGACGGGAAACACAGTTTCGCGCAGGAGGAATCCGGTTTTTCAAGTAATCGAGAGAAGCCGGGCTAGCAGGCGAGCGAGAGAGCGCGCGAGCGAGCGGGCAGGCGAGCAGACAGGCAGGCGGGCAGCCATCGAGGTAGCTCCCTGCGTCCAGTCTGGAAACAACCAGGGGAGAGAGAGAGAGAGAGAGAGTGAGAGTGGATGCCATCGCTACGTATATCGCCCCCTCTTCCTTCTCCTCCTTCTCGCCCCTCCTCCTCCTCCTCTTCCTTCCTCCCGCTGCTCTTCTTTCCTCGCTTTCCTCTTTCACCGCACCCATTCTTCTTAATCGAGCTCGCCCTCCCGTATTGAGACGTAGCTGTCGTCTCGAGTCGCCGCGAGTCAGCCGCCGATTTCCATCCCGATTCCCATCCCCCCCCGAATTTATCATTCCTCTCCTCTTCGTTTCGATAATTTCTTAAATTCCGACGAGATTCGGGGAGGGGAAGCGAAGAGATTCGGTCGAGATCGAGAAATGGAGGAGGCAGGAAAGTGATGGAAGGAAAGATGGGGGAAGAGGAGAATATTGAGACGTAGGAGCTACCTTACGGAAGGCGGGTGAAAAGGTATAAGATACGGTCGATGATT